TTTACACCATTTTTACACCTGATTTTTGCTATCGAATTTAACGTTTCTAGCGCTAAAAATCCGCAGACTGAAGGTGTTAGAAAAACACCCCACCAAAAAAAAAGTCTGCTCGCGCCCCCTGCTGCTGATTTACTACATGTTTATTTCTTTATAAAGGTTTGTGTATATTATTATTATCGAAAATTTCAGTATAACTCATCGAACTATTCCCGTTCGTCGTGCAAAGTTAAATATATTATACAAACTGTAAACTTCGTTCGTAAATACTGATACGATAAATTTATTGGCTTGCAATAATAATAATAATTAATTGGGGGGGAAAATGATAAACGTAATATTTAACTGAGATAAAAGGCTAAATTTCCACGTCTAGACTGCCAAGTTCTCTGTTGTGTTCTAGCATTAAGAACTCTATCGCAGGCATCTATTTTATTACTACAGTATTAAAAAGTGTTGATAAAACATGTCATTTTGTATGTTTTCTTTAGCTATATCGAACCCATGAATAACCAATGATTGGAGTCTTTCTAGCGCGGTCGAAAGCCCTCGTCTAGCAAGGGCTTACGAGAACTTATAGTCGTCCACCGCATAGAAATGGCCGCCGGCCGGTCGTTGCCGCAAGAGAAGATGTTGAGTAATGAATGTGTGAAGTTTGTTTTGTTGACCAAGACGGTGGACGAGTTTTGACGTTGCGCAATCCGTGATAATCATTCTCCTGAACGTTGTTCCAAGGTGTATTGTCCAACGGAATGCGCGAGTGGATGATTTAAATATGCTGGACATGAACAAATCCATGACTCTATATCAGTGTGATATTGATGTGCATCATCCACATCTTTTCTTTTGCGATGTTCCATTCCCGTTTGAAGGAGTGCCACCATGAGGGAAATTCACGATTGTTACGGTATCTCTTCCACGTATCCATTCGGTCAGTAACCAATCGTTTGGTAATAATTTGTGTTAATTGGACAAGGTTGAGAGATGTGTAATAAATCATTCCGAACGTATCTTCTTCGTACGCCGTCCTGGCCACACACGTTTCCAGGTGATTTATATTTGTATGTAAGGATGCAACCGTATCCGCCATTATTGACTATTACGGCGAAAAGTTCAAAACGTTCTTGATTTGTTTTAAACGTTGAGTCAACAATCAGCTCACTGCGTTACTGAGACAGTGATGATATTTCTCTCGATAAGTTGTAAAAATGGTGTAGTAAAAATCGTTTTCAAGGTAAAAAACTACTTTATAGGCATTCTCTGGTGCGGCTAGTTTGATGTGAATAACCAGCTTGCGGCTAGCCTTCATCCGCTTGTGTGTGTTTATGTTCAAGGTTTAGATGAACTTGAGCTGATCGATAATTTTGCCACCCAATAATATACACTTGTTGGTATGCACAGCCCCCTCCAAAAATAGACCGGGTAACACAAAATATTTGGTAAATCATACTAATACGTCAAATTCGCACTCTCTCATAACGCAAAATTTTACTAATGTAACTGTACTTCATGCGCTAATTAAACCTTCTCGCAATATTATTTTACATATAGTTTTGTATCTTGTATTGGATTAACTAATTTCTCTGTCTAACAAATTAATTGAAGTCGGTTTAACAGTTTCGCCGATTTGTCTTCTACTTTGATCATTTGTAAAGATCAACCATGCTACCAACAAACTGTGTTTAGAATGTTTTGAAATATGCATGTTCAACGTTTCATTCAATTTGGGCGAGAAATGGTAGAGAAATAAATTTAAACGTAATATTTTATTAGAAATGTACAGTACATATGATTAGTACTTGGTAGGGTTTCCTTTACCTTGCATGACTGCGGCAATCCGACGTGGCATACTATCCAATTATCTCTCCACGTTGAAAAAAGAGTAAGTCCTGATCGAGACGCCATTTGCTTGTAAATAAATGATTGACAGACAACAACCGCGAAAGCTTTACATTTATTTATTGTATGTAACATAACTTACAAATATTAATTTTCGATTGACTAAGATGGCGTCTAATTTTGTTAATGTGCCATTTTATTGCCTGAAGCAACTTTGAAAAATCATTCGTGATCTCACCTTTTTGCTAACGTCCTAGGGATTGTTTCTTCTCCTCCATCAACTTTCCGCTTGTAAGATGTATAGTTTAGAATTTGCTTTTCTTGCGCGGCGGATGCTTGAAGATGGCAGAGACCTATTTCTTCAAAATTTACCATCCCTTCTTTCTGAAATCAAAATAAAGAGTTAGTAAATATTAGCTTAGAGATGGTTTTTGTAAAGATTATCTCTTGTAGTAAATATTATATTCGTTATTTATTATTGGAATTATTGAAATTATTATCGATCGTATTATTGTTATCATTGTTATTTTCGATACCGACACTTTGATGTAAGAAAAACCCTAGTGACTAATAAGCAAGTTGCCTTAGGCGTAACCTCTTGTCGACTAATAAGCAGGGTAATGAAAAGTATTCGGTTATCATTATTATTATACTCTAAATTGACACTTTTATGTACGCTCTTCGCCAACTAATAAGCACGTTGCCTTTGGCGTAATCTCTTATCGACTAATAAAGGAAGCATGAAAAGTGTTCGGTTTAAAGACTGCGATTATAAGACTCTACGTTTAGTACAAAAAGGCGTTCGTAGTATGGACGATGTATAACACCGAGAGTTTAATATACTTGATACTCGTTTAATCCAATAAAGTTATTGTAAACTTATTATCATTGCGAAGCTATTGTGAAGTTATCGTTATTTTGTTTAAGTTAAAATATGATTTCGTTAATGAACCTTTGCCAAAATGTTAGTAGAGTATCGGAGCTCATAGAGTGAGATAGCGAAATGCGGATACTCTTGATGAAAATCCAATAGAAACATTACAGTAGAAAGAGAAATATTAATGTGGCGGCAGAAAACAACTTTCACTAACGAAATAATATTTACGATATAATACATAACGAATATTGATATTTTATATGAGAACGGCATTTCTTCGTTCGTTATATTCAGGCACATATGTTGTACCTGACCTTCGGTGATATATTATTCGTCTTCGTCCGTATAATGAAACGGCGATGTTATTATTAAATATATATTAACGAAATTAATAGGCCATTAAGAGTAGCGATTAAATTAGAAGCGTTGTAATTCTTATTTAATAGTTATATATTTATAAATATTACGAATAGTATAGAAAGTCCGATGGAGAGTATATCCCTTGCCGCAGATATATTCGAGATGTAAATCCATTGTAAGCCTGCGACAAGTGTACTACGAAACGCGGATCATAATAGTCAATTTAATCATTCGTCTAGAAAAAGGTTTATTCTCTAAGATAGATAATTAGTAGCTATGTACGATATTAGAGAATAGAGATCTGAATAATGTAATAAAGTTGGCTAAGTCGGTGGCCTCATCACTAAGCATCGACACTACAGGGCCCTATTGTCACGCGAAGAAAACCGGTGACAAAACCTCCTGTGTCTTTCGGAAAATGTTACCTGTTACCAAATTTAGCTTTGTATCCCCGTCTCGATTGTCAGCTAAGACAGTATCTAAACTCAACAGCAGCAACTATTATACCACAGTCGAAGGAAAATATCTATTTTAAAAATTAAAGGGCAAACTTTGATGTCGTATTTTGACTAGTAGAGTAAACGTAATTTGTCTTAAACTAACTAATTAAACAGCAATGGTTAGTTAATATTTATTATAAGCTCATGTTTCATTATTATCGTTGCACTTCATTGATCAAAGATTAGTTTTACAGCTTAAGTGAGCCATTATAGGTATATCCGCTTAATTAATATTCAACAATGAAAGAAAAGACGTAATTCGATTTCAAAGAAAATCGTTTATTCAATCCTCCGCGGATATAAAAAACTTTATCCGATGATTATTATCATTAACACTTCAAACTATGCTTGCTGATGGAATTCGAGCTACTATATATCTTTATGACATGGGAAAACGACACATTTCTAAATTAAATAAGTATCGCATAATATCTCAAGAACAAATAAAATAATGACGCAATCGGAAAGAACTGGGTTGAATATGAAACAATGTCAGGAAACACACATCATGCAGCTGATGCTAGAATGCTTTGAAGCGAGCTCGAATGTTGCTACGTTTTATTGGCATCAAAATCATTACCAATTTTAAACATTTGTCTCAAGATTTACTGTTTAATAATAGAGTATCATATTTTTACATAGGCAAGTTATAGCAACATGCACAATTTAATATTTCGTTAACTCAACCATATTGGCATATGTGGAAGCACATCATATAATGCGGACCTTTGTAAATAAGCCCATTAAAGTACAAGTTTATTCAAAAAGTGGTTGAGTTTCTAAATACAAGAAATGCACGGTGTTAATATTGTGAGTTGACTTTATTCTGTATCAACATGTAACCATACCTGCAGCTGAATCCAAATCATAACTATTTTTCGGTTTAGGCAAAGCTCCAGTAGGTAAGAGCGTGCTGGAATATTTACTCTCTTTTTCGAGACGTGATAATGGTTTTACATTATTATTATAATAAACAGAATTCCACACATTGTCATCAGATTTATCCTTTTCTACATCTGCAATAAGATTGTTAATACCAATATAAAGTGTATTTGCATCAGGACGCTTATCAGGATCAGCATCACAACACCGCTCGGCAAGTTTCTTGTATTCCTCTGGCG